CTTCCTTATATCTGGGGCTGACTGACTGGCAAAGGCAAGATTTACTGCCCTCTGATTTTAACATTTACTTGAATGGATCACCAATATAGATTTGCCATGACACAGGGCTTTAGTCTTCCTTCCTTAAATACTATGTCTCATTTGAACAGAAACATTTTATAGGAAGAAATTTATTAGTCTTTTTTCCCTTCTTGTGAATAAATCCATCAAAACTGATCTAATATGGTCAGATTTTTAACATATTTCATTGTTTCAAACCTATAAACCAAGGCAAATAAAAGTCACTTTTCCCAAGCCTTCTATGACTTACTGTATACCCTCAAGTTTAGTTTTTATTATCTCCTTTCATGTTCTGGTGCAACCATGTATTTTTACTTTAAGACAAAACTGTTTACTCTCTTAGACCCTCTTTTTTGTGTGTACAGTTTTTTTAAAACTTACTATCAATCAACTGCCTTTCCTCTGGTTTTTCAGACAACAATAAAACTTTTAACAAAAACCTTACGGCGTTTTTCTTTTTGTAGTCCATCCTGACCATACCTAAATTTTTTTTTTTTTAATTTCCCTTCACAAACCTTTTACAACTTTCTTTTATATCCAGGTTTTGTCCCAAGCCATTTCCTTTCAAACAACCATCTCATTTAGGACAAAATTACCTTTTCTTTAACAAAATATATTCCCATTCCTTGTCTTTCTTATGTATCTCCTACTTTTTTATGTATAGGGTTATTTCCCTTACTTCCATCAGTCTTAGTTACAGTTAGCAGAATTTTCTATTCTTAGAAACATTTCGGTTTCTAGTGATGGTTAAGTATTAACCAATTGTGAACAGTTACAACAGAATTCTGTAGATAGCAAATTTATGAATTAGTTAAGCACAAAACATGTTTACCAACAGAGTTAAATATTCTTAGTTTCTTTGCAGTAAGAAGTCAGAAGCACAAATCTACATCAAATACTCAATGCTTTAGCATTTTATCCCATTTGGTTAAGACCTAGATGTCCAACAAATTTAATTCCATTTGTCATCCAACCAAAACTTTGAAGTTTCAGGTTACCAAAGACTTTGAAAGTTACCTTAACAATTACCCATTAAAACTTTGAGACAGACAATTAACCATCAGTTCAGTTATTTCTTTGCTAACAGATTTTAACAAGTAGCATGAGCTTATTTGACCTTCAGTGAACTTTGAAGTTTCACATTTACTGCTGTAACTTTAAAGACATATCTATCTTAATTAAACCAACAAACTTAACTTAGTTCAAATACTGATTTACGTTTCACCTGGACCCACTCCATTTTTAATGTTTACCTGAGACACGGGTGGGAAGATCTGGAGTGGGGGGTGTTAGGTCCAGGGACTGCTCTTCTTGCTCCTTGACAGTGAAGAGGGAAGGAGCCGTGGTGCAGGAAGCACCGAGGACGGTCTAGAGGCCAGCTATGCAGGCCACACCCAAGTTGGCCTGAAACAGAAGGGGGAGTGCTGTCAGAAGGCAGAGAAAGGGTTCCTAGTTTGAGAGTTTTCCTGGGTAAACCTTGTCACCCAACTGGGTGGTTTTACCTTGAAAATCCTTGAAGTGCTGGAGAACAAGACTTAGGGGTGTCATAGGTCCCTTACTCTACGCTTGCCCCATTTCTTCAAACACAACAAACAACACAACAGACAACAAAAAGACAAGACAAAGACAACCACAGACCAGACCCAACAGCCCTTCCTCAACCAGATATCAAGTCTAAGGGTGTGCAAGATATACAGTCTGCCGCTGGTAGGGATTTTCTCAGTCCCCTGACCGCCTAGGGGGACTCAAACCCCCTGGCAGGTCCCCTGACCACCTAGGGGGATTCGAACCCCCTGGCAATCTCCCAGTGGAGGGATGAGGCGTCCCGCATCCACTCCAGCCCTGGGGAGCAATGCTGTGTCCAGCTTCTCCCTGGTGGGCTATACCCTGGAGCTCCGCAACCAGACAGACAGACCAGATCCTGCAGGATAAAATCTTGAGATCTTATCTCCAAAGGCTTTTCCCAGAAATTCTAATGCTGACTCAGTTCTTGTCCTTTAATCCCGGACGAGCCCCCAGAATGTTGGAGTCCGTTATCAAAGGAACGAGACTGAGACAAAGTGAAAGTTATGCAATGCCTTATTCTATGCCAAGCATTAGAAGTTAGACTGACTGGCCAGGGCTGCCTCCGAAGAGAGCGACCCCCTCCCGATCTCACAGGCTGGTTTTATAGGGCATAACCGCAGACCCAAGGTACGTGGCTTCTATTGTTAAGACGTTTACTCCCGGAATCGATACCTGGGACCATACCAGGAACTATGGGGGCGTTTATTCCCGGAATGAAGTCCGTGGATGTAAACAACAATATGGCTACCTAGGCAATATGGAGTTGCTCTGGCTAAGCAGGCCCTAATAGTTAAACAGGTTTTAACATTAAATTGGCCCTAACACCTAACAGCTCACAGTTGAATCAAATTAGGAATCAATAACAGAAAGAGGTCTAAAAAATTCCCAGATATTTGGAAACAAAAATAACACTTCCATGCATCAAAAAAGAAGTAAGGAAAATACATTGAATTAAAGTGAAAACACACTAAATTTATGGGTTGCTGCAAAAGCAGTACTTAGGGAGGAATTACACCTCTAAATGCCTAGGTTAGAATAGAAGAAAAAGGTATCAGTGATCTAAACTTTAACCTTAATAAACTAGGCAAGAAGAGAGCAAATTAAACCCAACTTAGCAATAGGGGAAAGGTAAGAATAAAGATCAAAGCCAAAATAAGTGAAATATTTTCTCTAGGGGTAGAGAAAAATCCGTGAAACCACAAGCTAATTTTTAAAGACCAATAAAAGTGGTAAACTCTGGCCAGACTAATCAGGAAGAAGAGAAGCCATAAAACCAGTATCAGGAATGATAGAGGTGGTATTACTAGAGCCTCCAGTATTAAAACAATAATAAGGGACCACTGTCAACAACTTTATGCCAGTAAATTTGATGACTTAGATGAAATGGACCAATTCTTTGAGAGAGACAATCTGCTAAAGCTCACTCAAGAAGAAATCAATAACCTGAATAGCCCCATATTTATTAAAGAAATTGAAAATGTCAGACTGTTTTCCAGAGTGTCTGCACCAATTTAAATTCTTATTAGCAATGTCCTTGCTGACATTTGGTTATTATCTGATTTTTCTGGTTGTACCCTCCTGGTGGGTATGAAGTGCTATCTCATTCTGTTTGACTTTGTATTTCCCTGACATTTAATGATGTGAAAAATCTTTTCGTGCGCTTACTGGCAGTCATTTGCATATCTTCTTCGGAGAAGTATTTATTCAGATCCTTTGCTTATTGTTTAATGGGTTGTTTTTTTATTATTGAATTGCAGGAGTTCTTACATGTTCTGAATACAAGGCCCTTATCAGACATATGATAGCAGGTGTCTTTTCTCATCCTGTGCATTGGGACCTTTTTGATTGTGTCCTTTGAAGCATAAGATTTTTATGTTGATTAAGTCCATTTTATCAGTTTTTGGCTGGGTCTTTGGCATCATGTATAAGAATCCACTGACAGGGGACCTGGTTGGCTCAGTGGGTTAAAGCCTCTGCCTTCGGCTCAGGTCATGATCCCAGGATGCTAGGATCGAGCCCCGCATCAGGCTCTCTGCTCAGCAGGGAGCCTGCCCCCTCTCTCTCTCTGCCTGCCTCTCCGCCTACTTGTGATCTCTTTCAAATAAATAAAATCTTTAAAAAAAAAAAAAAAAGAATCCACTGACAAATCCAAGATCATGAAGATTTATCCCTATGTTTCATCTAAGAATTTTATAGTTACAGCTCCCATATTATTTAAATTAATTTTGCCCTCCCACATATTAAGTGCTCGTGTGGCTGATGTCTCCCCAGTGCAGATAAAGAATGTTTCCATCATTGCAGAAAGTTCTTTTAAGATTTTATTTATTTGAGAGAGAACAAGTGAGAAAGAGCATGAGCAGGTGACAGGGGCAGAGGGAGAAATAGACTCCCCACCAAGCAGGGAGCCTGATGTGGGGCTCAGTCCCAGGACCCCGAGATCATAATCTGAGCTGAAAACAGCCGCTCAACTCACTGAGCCACCCAGGCACTCCTGCAGGAAGTTCTTTAGGACACAAACACTTTAACATAGATGAAAATGAGCTAAGGACTTGAACAGTTAGTTAACCAAAAAATAAATGAGTGAACTCATGTACACAAAACTGTTTAGTAGTTAAAGAATGCAAAATTAGAACAGAGATTGCATTGTTAGTTCCCCAGATGGACAATGACTACTTCCCTTCAGGTCTTGACTTAAAAATCACATCAGTGAGGCCTTCCCAACCCACCCTATTTAAAATTTCAAACTTAGTCTTTTCATTTCCTGCATTTTCTCATTAGCTGTTACCATATATACATTGAACTTATTTTCTTGTTTATTGTCGGTGTCCCCGCCCCCACTTCGAATGTACAATCCATGAAAGCCTGTTTTATGCACTATTTATTGTCCCTCCATTTCCTAGAACAGTTCTATATATAGAAACTCAAATACATGTTGTTAAATGAAAGCTGACAAGGTGTAGAGAAAACAATGTTCTCATATACTGCTATCAGTAAATTTGGTACAACCTTGTTGGAATTAGTTGTATAGCATGTTAAAGTCTCAAAATTGTGCTTTCCCTTTGACCTAACTTTTCTCTTTCTAGGTATTTATCATAAGGAAATAATTAAGGATGTGCACAGAGATATGGCTGGAAGATTTGGCCACAATGGAATGCTTTTATCTGCAGTCTGAACTCTTGAACTGACATACCAGAAGGAATGTAGATTGTTTTCAAAATGTGATGACAAGAACTATTTTTGCAGAGTTGTTCAAAAGAGCCTTTCCTGTCTTCCATAATGCCTTAGTGTATTAAAATATTGTCTCATTACTGACTTTTGGACCTACCTTCTTTCTTAAGCAAAATTAAAACTTGTCTATGTAATTTTTTCCACAGATCCCTTAATATGGACTTTGAAAATCAAGATAAAGAGAAAGACAATAGCAGTTCTTCTGGGTCTTTCAATGGCAACAGCACCAATAATAGTAAGGCATTTTATGTCAATTAACTTTAATACATATAGTGGTCTTAATTAGATTCTTCCTATAACCCCAGTTAATTTACCGGGTTTAAGGATTTATGTTTAATTATAATAAAATCTAATCTGTATTGGTATAATTTGTAAAAATTCCTATGTTCTGAATCTAACCCAATGATTTCTCATTACTGCTTTTAACTCATGCCTAAAAGCTTGCTGCTGAGATTATTTTCTTAAAAACAAGTAGGATAGTAAAGATTTTGTAAGAATGTTGAGTTATAAGAAATAGAAGTGTGCTATATAGCAAATGTTTGCCAGCATTGTTTATAATGGCCAAAAAGTAGAAACATGACTCAGAGATCAATAAGCTTGTTGATGGATAAACAAAATATGGCCTGTCCATACAATGGAATACTATTCAGCATTAAAGAGAATGAAGTACTGACGAGAGGTACTGATACTGATACATGATATGAACCTCAAAACATTATGTTAAGAAGTCAGGAAAGAGTACATATTGTGTGAGTCCACTTACATGAAATTTCCAAAAAGACAAATATGGAGAAACTGAAAGTGCATTTGTAGTTTCCTGGCAAGTATTGGGCACTAAAGATGGGTGAATTTTGCTGTATGTAAATTGTGCCTCAGTAGAGTTATAGAAAATTGTTGATGTTTATTATAAGGGAAATCTAATTATAAATAAGGAGACTTGATTTGATCATCAAGAGCTTGATACTGGGTTCCTACCATGCAGTTTATTAGATATATATTTTTTAGATATTCTATTAGATATTTTGAAAGCTGCCAAAGCACAAGAGCTGGTACCCAAGCTGTCACTAGGCACTGTGGCCAAAACACTTTGTGAGGCATTAATAAAGTGCTAAGACAGAGTTAGTAAATACTACTTCCCTTCCCTAGAACAGGAACATTCTCTCACAGACCCTTACCGTAGCCTCAGAGTACTTCTAACAAGCATCTGCTATCAGTAGATCAGAGTAAGCCTTAGAGATGAACTCATTTGACATCCATGTACAGAGAGAGCAAAGAGAAAGGCAAGTCAGGGTAAGCCACATGGGTCAATTTAATAAGGGACTCCCGTGCCAGACAAGGTGAGTTTAATCTGAAATTTGAAACCATGAACTTGGATTGCTGGAGAAGTCATTCTGGATGGGAAGAGCATATGATTAACAGGCACAGAGAGAATGAGCGTGACTTACAGAACAGCCTCAAGTCACCACCTAACAGGGAGGAAATATTGAGGATCCAGGATAAAGGTAGAATACTGATGGAGAATTTTAGAACTTAAATGGAAAAGAGATCACTCATTTTCTCTAGTTACTGCCCCACCCACCAAATTATACTTGCCTAGCTTTTACCCAGTTAAATGTGTTCCTTGTACCCAGGAATCTAAAGTGGGCATTGCAAATACAGTAAGTAGAATTATTTTAATATAATGAGTCTATTCTTAAACTTATGACACAGATTCTTGTATGAGGTAAAATACCATATCAGTAACTTATAGGGAAACCAGGTAAAACTCAGTATCAATACCCGATTTTCAGGTTAAATGATTACATAGCGTTTATCTTCTGTCAACATTTAAGCCAAATCACTTTTACAACTGAAACTCCTTTGCAAGTCCTGTGTTATGTAGCATATATGCATATGATGTATTTAAACCAGACTATAAATCCATTGTACATTGAATCACAGAAACCTAAGAGAAATGGACACTGTGTGTCTAAGTACTATTTTATCCTCAAATAATTGATCAGGTCAGTCCATACAGTAGAAGGAAGTTACCTAGTGACATGAGTTTTCATTTCTCACCGCTGATGTCTAAAGAGTAGTAAATGTTTGTTTAAGTGGTCATTTTCTTAAATCTACCTCCTGTGTTGTGCTAAATGATCCTCACAAATGTATTTCCTCAGTGCCTCATCTGGGCCATGGATACCAGAAGAGATAGATTAGGAGAGAATGCAGTCCTCTTCCACAAAATCAGGAAAAACACAATGAAAGAAATGGCTGTTGCAGCAGGGAAGGCCAGTATTTGATCATGAGGCATGACACCATTCCAGATTGAAGGGACAGCATGGAACATGGGGTACATTTATCAAAATCAAAGAAATAATAATAGCCAAAAGGATGAACAGAGAAACACAAGAAATTGTGGGGGTGCTGAAGAGATTGAAGTCCTGAATGATAACCAATGTAGAAGAATACAGGATTGTTCTCAGGAAAGGAAGGTATGAGTTTAGTGTTCAGATTTTGGCAAGAGTCTTGATTGAAGGAGAAAGTGTAAATAGGTAGAAGTTGTTGTTAAAGGTTGCAATATTAAAAAGAAAAAAAAAAGGTTGCAGTTGCCTAATCCCGAAATAAATAAGAATCAAGGAATTTGTGAAAAAGACAACAAAAATGAGTGACGTACGGTTTCCTAGACAGCATGGATGCTGATAACAGTATTGAGCAAAAGGAAGCCAGACACACAAAACACATGCTCCGTATCAGTGTATGCAATAAGCTCAAAAAATAAGCAAAATCAATACTAGTATTTTAGAATGTGCAGTTGAGCAGAAGACATATAAAATAGAGCAAAGAAGAAAGTGTCATAAAGGCCAACGTAGTAGTTCCTTTTGGGGAAAAGAATGGAGACTTAGGAGGGGCACAGGAAAGACTTTTGGGCTCGGCAGGGTTGTTCCCTGACCTGGGTGCTATTTGCTGATTGATTGAACTCTACATCTTTGTTTTATGTACTTTGTTTTATGCCTGTTGTGTTTTTGTTTTTGTTTTAAGATTTTTACTTATTTATTTGACAGAGACCGTCAGCGAGAGAGGGAACACAAATAGGAGGAGTGGGAGAGGGAGGAAAAGCAGGCTTCCCACTGAGCAGGGATGGCGGGGCTTGATCCCAGGACCCTGGGACCATGACGTAAGCGGAAGGCAGCTGCTTAACGAACGACTCAGCCACCCAGTTTCCCCCGTATGCTGTTGTGTTCTACAATAAAAAGGGTTAGAAAGAAAGTGGGGAAGCGGAGTGCCCTCCAGGTTCTGTCTGATTTTCCTGAACCTGGTTCTAAATCCTGTCTCATCCCTATATCTGCCCCAAGAAACCTATATAGAGATTTTTCCTTCTGGCATACCAGCCCTTCATTTAATCTGTATTAAGTGAGTTTAAAAAAGGACAGCTCCCACCCTTGGCCCCATTATCTGACGTTTTGAAGTCCTTTACCAGGCTTCCCATGTAATTTATCTGAACTCTGAAGACTGTACAGCTTTTCAAAGCCCTCATGTTACCTGCTGTGTAATAGGTGCTCAGTAAATAGTGAAAAGCATGCTTCTTTCACGGAGGTGCAAAATCAGTAACTTTCTTAGTGATTATCAATAATATGCTGGTGTATATTATTGTTCAGTATCTATTTCATGACCATGTATTTAGCCTATAGCCTTGTTCAGTAAATGCTAAAAATAATTTCTCTACATAATTTTTTCCATCACCCTGCCTACTTTTTCTTCCTTCTTTTTTTTTTTAAACGACTTCCCTCCATCTCTGTGCTCCAGCAGTTTCTTGCCACTGTCCTAAAAGTACTTTATCTCTAGGGCCCGCCTTGAAGAGAAAACCGTGCCTATTTCTTATGTTAATTTTTGCTTTAAAGGTAATGCCAACTGCTTTTGAGTAACTCCTCCTAATTATGACAACTCTTGTTTTGCTTTGGTCTGTTTTTTTTTTTTTTAAGATTATTTATTTATTTGACAGACAGAAATCACAAGTAGGCAGAGAGGCAGACAGAGAGAGAGGAGGAAGCAGGCTCCCTGCCAAGCAGAGAGCCCGAGCCCGATGTGGGACTCGATCCCAGGACCCTGGGATCATGACCTGAGCCAAAGGCAGAGGCTCAACCCCCTGAGCCACCCAGGTGCCCCTGCTTTGGTCTGTTTTGTTTTGTTTTGAAGTCACTGAAGTTTGCCCGAAATTTCTGTTAGCTTCATCCCCTTCAGGACCATTATCTCCAGACCTTTAGGAAGTACAGTATTAAAATTGTGTACATTTTTTTAGGTGGCATATTGTCAGCAACTAAAGGAACTCTACTTGCCCTGTGACATTGCCGTTTGGTAAACTCCCTTGGGCATTCTTCTATAAAACTCACGGAAGCAGTGTCTCATACCTCCTGGTTTAAAATCTGTGCTTTTAAAAAACAAAAATCTGTGCATTCTCTCTAATACTCTAGAAAGGCTCTTTGTGTTCAGTTTTGCATTTTTTAAAAAGATTTCATTTTATTTGACAGAGATCACAAGTAGGCAGAGAGGCAGGCAGAGAGAGACAGGGAAGCAGGCTCCCCACTGAGCAGAGAGCCCGATGTGGAGCTTGATCCCAGGATCCTGAGACTAGGACCCAAGCCAAAGGCAGAGGCTTAACCCACTGAGCCACCCAGGCGCCTCCAGTTTTGCATTTTAATTGCAGACTGAACTTCTAAAATTTAGATTTTTTATAAACAAATACTTATCATATACCTGACTCACTAAAGTCTTTATTCTAGCCAGCCATTTAAGTTTTCTGTTCATGTTTTAAACCAATATAATTAATTTGTAGACTATATGATGTTTTGTTTTACAAAAGAGGGGGGTGTGGATGTATATTTTAAGACTTGTAGTTTTTTAAAGATTTGTTTCTCTTAAAAGATTTGTTTCTCTTCATATAACAATTACTTATTAGTGAAACTATTATTTTCTGTTGTGAAAGGCACCTAAAATCTGTAGTTTTCTCTAGTAGTTCTCTGACATAGTGTAGAGCACTCAGACCAACTAGGTGAAATTCAGTTAGAAATTTCATGGAGTTCTGTCTCATAAATGTCCGTAAGACACTTCACTTTAAGTAAGGTACTACCCCTCCCCCCACTCCACTCCCCACCCACTCCCATATACACACACAGATGATCCAGGCCAAGTGAAGGAGTTTGACTGCAGTTCTGGTCAGCAGCCATCTTAAGAACATCTCTGTCTTGACACATAGATCACTCCTCCTCAATTGAAATGCCCTATTCCTACATGAATTGACTCCTCCACCTAGCCAGTAAGAAACAATTTTGTTTTGTAGAAATATTTAATATTTTATTGAACTAAAATACCTAAATAGCCTTCTTGGGACAGATAAATTTAAATACCAAAGAGCAGTTTTTAAGCATTGGTTGATGATTGCAACCCTTGGTGCATAGTTATGTTCTTCCTGGTCACATTATATCTTATTCATAGCCTTAATTTAATGAAGAGAGACTTCTGATATTTCTTTATAATAGTTTCATGTGAATATTTTTTCTTCGATTCCTCTCAAGAACTTTTTATCTCTGCAGGGTTAATTTGGAAGTAGATCACACACAAGATTAATAATTTTTTTAATTCAGTGGTTATCAGATATAGCCATGTTTCTCTTCTCTACCAAATATTTTTTTAATGCTTTTCAACTCTGTATGCAAAATAAAATTTTCTGGGAGTTTTTAGCTGGGCCTATTAACCCCTAGAGATTCAGTTTCATTGGTCTGGGGTTGGGGGCCTGGGCATTGTAATTGTAACAGCTCTGCAGGTGATTCTAATGAGTAACCAAGAACTGAAAACCACTGTGCTAAATCCTGTATCCCAAGTAATTGTTTTCTCCCATTTATCCTTAAAATGTTCCCATACAATTTTTCTGATTTTCGGTTTTCAGATGTCTTATTCCCTCCACTCCCCGACTCTACTCAGAGTTGATCCTCAGCAACAGTGGGGAAGAATGAATATGAATAAACCCGTAGATGATGAGAAATGATTTTAGTCATTGGCTTTAAACCATCTCTTATACCAGACCTGCACATGAGACTACGAATGTACTCAAATTGACTAATCTGAATTTTTTTTTTCTAAGATTTTATTTATTTGAAAAAGAGCTCAAGCCAGGGGAACCGCAGGTGGAGGGAGGGAAAGGGAAAAGCAGGCTCCCTGCCAAGCAAGAAGCCTGATGCAGGGGTTTGATACCAGGACCCTGGGGCCATGACTTGAGCCAAAGGTAGATACTGAGACACCCAGGTGCCCCAATTAATACAAATTTTTACTACCTGTTGATGTTCTAGGTTTTTTGTTTTTGTTCGTTTGAGGGGGTTTTTTGGTGCCCTGTCAACCAGATTGTTAGCACCAGGAGGTAGATAATGAAGGCACCATGAGGAGAGCAAGGAGTTCATGATCTCAGTGGGAAGGAAAGAATCAGAGGACCTAGATAAACTGTATCTTATATACTAACCCCAGGAACTGTTAAAGTGTCTGGAGTACATGGGCACAGTGCCTGTTACTTAAGTCATTAATCTCTCCCTTTTTCTCTTTCAGGTATCCAAACTATTGACTCTACCCAGGCCCTGTTCCTTCCAATTGGTGCATCTGTCTCTCTCCTAGTAATGTTCTTCTTCTTTGACTCAGTTCAAGTAGTTTTTACAATATGTACAGCAGGTAAATGAGTTTCTTCTCTATTTTCAGACTTTAACCTAGAAGGAATTTTTTTCACCTCTTTTTAATCATCATTCAAAACTTAAGATTTATACACCATGCCATGCAAGTTTTTCTTTTTAAGTCTGTTTTTTCTCCCCATACTTCTCCTTGAGCCACTGGATACACATAACATCAGTTTAGGACTGCCAGTACAGCCTGAACAAAAGACCAGGGGGTTTGAAAACATGCAGGCTTTATGATATCAGAGTAGGACCACTTTGACTGTGGCTCCTTGTCTGGGAGGTTACTAGAAGATCCAGTGTGACAAAGTGGTCATTGGCAACCCCCACTGATGTTTCTGTAGTAGACAGACACAGTGATAACTAATCAAAGTAATTTGACTGTCAGCCCTCTGATCAGTTTTTAAGCAAAGAGATGATATAAGTGTATAAAACATCAGCAAAATGCTGGACATGTCAGATCATCCCCTGGCCCGCTGTTTCTCTTTTCATATTAAGATAGAAGAGAATGAGAAACCTAGATGTCTCTGCTTCCCCTACTTCAAATCAGGTACTTCTTTTTTCTCAAGACTTTATCTGTATGGTGCTAATGGAAGACATTTTTTATCTCTAGTTAGTTAATTTTATCTACTTACTGAGAAAAGTTTTCTGGGTAGTCAGTGTTTCCATAAGTCATGCCATTTTTCTTACGGTTGTTGAAAATAAACAACAAAACCTAACCATATATATTTTCTTTCTCTAGTTCTTGCAACAATAGCTTTTGCTTTCCTCCTCCTCCCGATGTGCCAGTATTTAACAAGACCCTGTTCACCTCAGAATAAGTAAGGACTTGGGGTTTTCCTCTAAATTATGAATTTGTATATGTTTTTATCTTAGACTTGATAGCATTGTTGGGAGTCTCAATTTCTGGTATTGACCAGAGCACACAAATGCCAGAAGACTGGGAAGGGAGATGTTTGATCTTTAAGACTAGAAGATAGTACTTCCTTTTGTACCTTTCCATAGCAGAGGAAATGTAAACAAATCTTACAAAGTCTGAGTCATTGAAATATGCTTCCTGCTTAGATTACTGAAAGATGAGCAGTTTCATTTTGAAGCAATACTCTCATTTTTTTACTAGGGAGTTAACGGGATGTGAAAGTAGTGGTTGACTCAGACATTTTTTGCCTTTCATCTTTGGTGGCCTAAAATATACACTAGCCACTTAGGTTCAAACCCCGTGTGCATACCTTTCACTCCTTAACTCCCAAAGCCATTGCTCCATAGAAACAAAATGTTGTGCTAACAGAGATGCTGTATGCACTTAGGAAACCCGTCACTTGGGGCAACTGATTTTCCCAGGAATTAGTGATAGCCAAAGAGAGTTATTGCAGATTTTTTAAAATATGTATTCATCACTCATTGCCCAGTGGATTGAAGGTCAGTACTTTTTCATTTTGTTTTCCTCATAAGAACAGAATTTCCCCTATAATGTATTTAATTCTCCAAAGATTGGTGTTGTCACTTAAAATTTCTAAACACCCATGCTGGTAATTTGGGATAAAAAGTACAATCAGATGGGTGCAGAAGTATAATTAATTCCTCTTTTTTTTTTTTTAAGCTTTTCTTTTTTTAAGATTTTATTTATTTATTTGACAGAGAGAGAGATCACAAATAGGCAGAGAGGCAGAGAGGGGGAAGCAGGCTCCCTGCTGAGCAGAGAGCCCAATGCGGGGCTCGATCCCAGGACCCTGGGATCATGACCCAGCCTAAGGCAGAGGCTTTAACCCACTGAGCCACCCAGGTGCCCCTAATTAATTCCTCTTTGTTTCTGTAGCTTACTCCAAGGAGGTTTGGGTATTTTCGAATTCCAGGTGTCTGGGTATTGCCTGCTGTTCTCATCTGGCCATATGAGCTCTGATCATGAAGGACCAAGGTAGAGTTTGGTTATTGAAATATTATGTATTGCCTATGAGTCCAATAAATGGTGTGTGTTTTCTAGGATTTCCTTTGGTTGCTGTGGGCGTTTCACTGCTGCTGAGCTACTATCATTCTCTCTGTCTGTCATGCTCGTCCTTATCTGGGTTCTCACTGGCCATTGGCTTCTTATGGATGGTGAGTAACCTGTGAAAAGTTGAAGTTTTAATGTAGTTTATAGTTATATTTGTCCTCCCTTCCTCTGCTTACTGTGTTTAGTAATATTTACTCCAATTACTGTGAACATTAGGTGTCCTTAGGCGGTGCTACCCATTGTTGAGGGTTTTTTTTACCCACTTTTTTTTTTTTTTAAGATTTTATTTATTTATTTGGCAGACAGAGATCACAAGTAGGCGAGCAGGCAGGTAGAGAGAGAGGGGGAAGCAGGCTCCCTGCTGAGCAGAGAGCCCAATGCAGGGCTCGATCCCAGGACTCTGGGATCATGACCTGAGCCCAAGGCAGAGACTTTAACCCAGTGAGCCACCCAGGTGCCCCTTTTTACCCACATTCTTCAGATATTTTTGAATAACAGCTTTTTGAGGTATGATGTCCAAGTGTATAAATGTACAATTCATTGGTTTTTAGTATATTCAGAGAGTTGTGCAGCCATCACTCCAGTCAATATTGGAGCATTTTCATCACCCACCCTCCAAACCCATACCCAGCAGTCACTCCCATTGGCCCACCCAAGCCCCAGGCATCCACTAATCTACTTCTCTCTCTATGGATCTGCCTCTTCTGAACATTGCACATAAATAAAATCATACATTATATTACCTGTTTGTCTGCCTTCTTTCACTTAGCATGATGTTTTCTAGATTCATTCATGCCATAATCTGAACCCGCACTTCATTTCTTTCTCTGGCCAGTACTACTCAGTTGCATAGCTATGCCAGTTTTATTTATCCATTCATCAGTTTTCTCCACTTTTTTGCTTTTATGAATAATGCTGCTGTGAACATTCATGTTTTCGTTTTTGTGGAGACTCAATTACATAAATGGAGTAATACTGTAATATATATAAATACATATGTGGAGTATATGTTATATACCATAGACTTTTCATGTAATGATATAAATACATGTCTGTATCATTACATAAAGATAGCATATCCTTCTTAATAATTCCAGAGTATTCTGTTGTATGTTACTTCACTATTGCTAGACCCTTAGATTGCTCTTAATCATCTCTTATAAACAACCTGAGGTAAACATTGTTCTACTTCTGGATATACATGTCAGATTACTTAAAACAGTTATTTCTGTGGATGAGTTCCTAGATATGAAATTCCTAGATGAGAGGATTTTTGTATTAAAAATTGTTTTCTCTATTACTGTACTGCCTTTCAGAAAAGCGGTAGCACTTTACACTCCTACCTGTAGCGCATGAGACTCGCTCTTTGTTGGTGATGATTAGGATGAACTAAGAATGTCATGAGGAGCTAACATTTGTTGAGTGCTATGCATTGGCCACTTCCCTGGATGTTTACGTGGAGTATCTCATTTAATCCTGAAAAGTCTTTGAAGTGGATACTTCCGTTCCCACTTGACAGAAGAGGAAACAGGTTCAGAGAAGTCCCTTATTCAGTCACAGAACTCTCGTGTACATTTCATACTTCTCATCAGAATATCTTGAAGGGACATTTCCAGAAATCCCCCTTTATTCTTTTTTCTCCCTTAAGACATTTTAAAACTTTTCTCAAAGACCACGTAAGCATTTCCACCTCCTTTTTCATTCAGTCCTTAATTTCACAGTTCACGTTCTTGATCTCAAGAAGCTCTATCTAACTGCTTGCCCCGCAAGGTCTGTTCACTTTTTCCTTTCTTCTGGTGTTTCAGAAGAGAAGGAAGTTAAAATACAAAAGACAGTTTTATGTAATTTGTAATACTATCTAAGGAATATTTAAGGGAGGATTTTGAAAATCAGAGATGATGGGTACAGATCACACTTATTCCTGTTATCCATTTCAAGCAAACACAAGGCTAATCAAGACTTTGGAAACAGGGCTCTTTGGAGGCTCCTGTCCACCAAGACTGTGTCCTCACAGCTCTGAGAATGGCTCAGCTATTGTAGACCCATTGTCATCTAAGCACAGAGCCACCCAACGTGGTGCTCCCTATCCACGTCAGGAGTAGCAAACATTTGTGTCACAATGTTCTGCTCATGGTCAAATCAGATAGAATTTGAAAAAAGGATTTTAAACTGCATGTGTGTGTGAATGTGCAATCTAAACCTTGATAAGTAATTTTAAATCTTGAAGAAAACCAAAAACTTATACTTTTGTTTCAAGGGGTTTTTTTTTCCCTCATAATTTACTTGGACTAGTTTAGGGATTTGAAATTTATGTGTGCGAAGTTGACTGGCGAAAACAATATTATGAGGGAACAGGCTATCAAGTGGTTTGAGAGCTCTGTAAAGCTATAATAAAATGGCACATCATTTTAACTCAAGGTGATAATTGTGGAGAAAGGATTTTTCAAATTGTAAACCATACAAATATCTGATATACTTCTTCAGAAAGTATTTTTTAAAATAATAAGAATTACGGTGATGGAGAACAGGTGAGTGGTTGCCAGTGGTTATATAATATTTATAATTTTATAAATATATAATTTGTATATTGTCATAGTTCCTTGTTCCAACAGTTGTCACTATTCCATTGTTCCTTGCTTTTTTGAGTGCCTACCATATACCAACCTGTTGATACTCAAAAGTAGTTCCTTGAGGTTATAGATCAAGTTACCTCTTAGATTTATAGAGAGACCTTTAATGAGTTGGAATGGAAGGTAGAGTCAAAATCACCAGTGTCTGACCATGCAGTAATTGACATTTGCTGATTTCTGACCGGTTTGGTCTCTCGTTTTAGCTTCTTAAGTTGCCTTATAAAAAACATTTCTGTGGTCATTTGCTTTGGAATGTGTATAAACATCCTGAAGTTTGTAGTGTTTAGGATTTTTAAATGGTTACCAGAACTATTCAGTTTCCCAAATCAAGTATCAGTGCTTTCAGTATTCCTACGGATTGGTGTTTGATACATCAGTGCTTGTGGAGATTGATAAAGAGTAAGTTTGAGGGAACGAAATTATATCTAAAGTCACACAAGTTGCTTGCCTGGTAGAAGAGCAAATGCCAATTTTTATATACTAGGCATTGAGTATTGAGAAATACCAGGTATGTACATTTGACTTTTCCTAAGATTAACTCTTAATATCTGCAGAATGATTTAACCTAAAAGCATGTAGGTGATTTTGAAAGACTTTAATAGAGCATAATCTCTTTTTAAATCTGTGTTATAGAAAATTAAGGAGTCTTAGTCATGATGATTGGAGTAAGGATAGTAACTCATAGCCTCATAGCTGCTTTTATGATTATATCCTTTAATCTCACCTAAACCAGTGCTTCCTGATGAGGAAACAAGCAGCATAGATATTTCTCCTCTACTATTTCTGAACAAAAATATTTAGAAATGCTGGTTGGTTGGTTGGTTGGTTGGTTAATATCTAAACCAGATTACTTTGGTCTATTTAAAATCACTGGATGACTGTTAGCTATAAACTCTTAAGAGAAACTGGTTTATGTTGATGTCCTTAAATGAAAGAGTCCACTCCCATAAATATTACACATAAATGATCTCCCTATACAAATACTGTGTTAAATGAGATGACAAAAGCTTCAGATGCCACTGTTTTAACTAGAGTAATAGCAGACAGTCTTCACCTAACCAGACTGATTAGTTTCAAAGCCAGCACACTCTAAGTCCAGATGGTGCTTAAGCTACATTGAAGTCTCTCAGCTTCCTCTGAGGTTCTTTGTAATCCCACTGACTTCTTGTGACTCTATACTTTCGTGGAACTCTTTATTCATGTGTCCAGACACACATGTTAACTATCTATAGGCTTTGCTAAGGGTTTTAAGTTTACCAAGCTGCTGACCCGAAAAGATTAGATCCCTCTCAAAGCAGCAAGCAGTGTGTTTATACTCTCATCTCTACTCTTCCCAAGCATTGCAGAGAACAGAGAAATACATATTTTCTAGTAGTATGTAACTAAAAGAGAAAAGGTTGGCATTGGAAGGTGACATTCTTTTCAAGATCCACTGATTTACACAGCCATCTGAAGTACATACTTTAGAACAGATAAGCAGAATTTTCCTCATTGTACCTCTGCAGGCAGGGCTAGGGACAGGCTTACTAGACTCACTAACAGAAGAAACAGATAAGCAGCTCTCCATAAGATAGAATGCAGAGTCCATTGCACTACAGGATTTCATCTAGACTGTAGAGTTCATGAGAGCTGCCCATACAAGACAACTTTCTTTTCCCAGTGACCACTGTCGGAAATACATTTCCATCCTCAAATTCACCTGATAGCTAAAATTCTTTGAGGGTTCAGTGAGGTTCCCCAAACCCCACTTAACCCAAATGTGTGGATGTTTATATCACCTTTTGTCATTATTGCTGGTCCTCAAAATATACTTGTCTAGGAGTCTCTTCTCCCTACCAGTTCGCACTGGTTAAACTGCCTTTGTAACCAAGAACAGAGTTCTCTCCCTGCCTGGTCCCCTAAAGGGGGGAGCCTTTGAGCTTTTTAAAATTGTTTCTCAGACTCTAGTGTTTGGTGCGTGTGTGAGACTTGTTTTCTGCTGTTAAGAAAAATCTGGAACTGGTTCTTTTCTGACATAGAAATTATCTTTGTAGATGTCTCTGCAGAATCAGAATCATCATAGGGAGTGATAATTTGGTAGTAGAATTTTTCTAAAAAATGAATGTTTCTCAATGAAAGCCTGTTACTTAAAGTTAGAGTGAAAACAGAATGACAAATGTGGTTGTTTTAGGGCAAGGCATGAAGTATATTTTCAGGCTTATATACTAAAAAGCAATAATAGTAAGAGACTTAAGCATGTTCTTGAACTAAACCTAGAGTATTTTATCTACTCTCACCTTCATCTGGCAAATTAACCTTTTAAATTTGGGAAGCCTTGAAAGATTTTGACCAATGGGTGGTGTGGTGCATTAGCTAAAAGTTGATGAATCTTGTGCATACACATTTACTGTTTAAAGATTGTTACACCAGGTCCACAATATATGTCCACTAACCAGTTCAGGGACTAGAAGCCTTGAACAGATGTCTAGTCCAGCCACCTCACTTAATATGCTTGTTACTAATCTATGATTAGAAAATGTACAATGCCAAAAATCTAGTAATTGGTTTTAAAATGCTAGACTCCGGTGTTTAGTCCACATAAGGCTAAGATAAAGACTCTACAGGTTCTACAGAACAGAGTACTGCCTAAGATCTTATTACAGGTTACATGTTTCTTTTCGAGAACATTTTGGCTCAGTTCAGTGTCATTGTCTTTGTCCCTGGCCCTACTGGTCATGGAAGGCAAATTGACACAAAGATTATATCAATAATACGTTGAAAGTAATTCTAGGTAGCTGGCTAAGAATAATCATTTACTTAACACTTTTGCTTATTTTACATTTAACCAAAAGTTAAGATTGGTCTTGAGTTTCTCAAAAAGTCAAGTCTTCGGTTTCTCAACCAGCATGGAATGAGGGAAAGCTACCGCCCCTTTTCATTTTGGCTTGGAAAACTCCTAAGGAGGTGAGACTTTGAAGGGTTATTTAAATGAAAGCATGAAGAAAAAGAGAGGCAAACTAGGCGAACACCTGTGTTTCGGGGATGTGACAGATTGTGGCAATATTTGTTTGGGGGTAGGAGTGATACTGAAAGAGTCAGGAGGGATGCATTTTGCCTCTTCAAATGTGGAGCTCACAGCACAGTGGGGATGGTTGGTCGGAATGACTGGAAGAGGGTATCGCTCAGCTTAGCTGGAGATGAAACAGTAGCTGAGGAATGGGAGCAAAGGAAGGCAGACCCTGAAACCTCACTGTCCTGTGAGTTGTGCCCAAGGCCATGGGACTTATCATTAGACTGGACCCATCACAGAGTAGGGAACCTAGTACTATATGCAGGAAACACACAGTGATTGTTTCCAGTGGCAGTGAAGAATTAAGTGGGAGAGAAGCCAGAGTGGGAAAGGATGCATGTCAAACTAGGGAGGTGTAGGGAAGCATGAACAGGTGTGCTGTAGCCACAAAGGGTGGCACCCAGAATGGCTGCAGCGTGAGTGTACATGATGAGAGACTGAAAAACTGAAAACAGAACCAGAGTTTCTAGTTTGGAAGATGAGAAACTGAATGGCATTGTCTGGAATCATGGAAAATCCTGTCACTGAGCAGTTCTATCTTGTCCGTGGGTGGTTTCCTCTCGGGTGGGGTAGGATTAGTGTAAGAGGAGTGGCGAAGCAACAAGTGGATGATTAGACCATATGGCCAGAAAGGCTCCTACCAATTTAGGATTAAGTAACTGTATGGCAAGTTGAAAAGTTCTAGAACAGACCAGTCACCTGCGTGTGTCACAGAGGCATATACATTTAACTTGGGAACCTGCCATTTTGCTTGTCTGTCCCTTTCATTACCAAAATACCTCTTTTTCAGGTGTCATCAGTCCACTGACCTCCACTGGCCACATGCCTGTCCCTTGTATGTCCATCTCAGGCCTTCATTTCTCCCTTTCTTCCCTTGATGTGCTTCGCACTCCACATATGCACTTGTCTAAGTTTCTGAACAGATCACTTCTTATTCCCCTACTACCATCACCCTGCATCTGCCCCCAGGGCTTCCCACCCTCCACTGACCACTGTTGTTCCTCAAGTCAGCTGAGCTTATCCCTGCCCGTGTCCTGAGTATTGATTCACAGCACAGCCCACTCTTTTTTTCCAAAGATCATTATAATGGAAAATATCATTATTTAAAAACAGGTATGAGTTGATTATATCAGGGGCCTTCGTTGTTTTTATGAATTTATAAAAAATTAAAGGAGACCCTAGTAAAATGAACACATCCTAGATTATTGTAAAATCAGAAATTATGTTTGACCACATCTCTCCAAAACATACACACAGTGCACACCATGGAGATTAGTGAATACTTGATAACAATAATGACACAGGGGAAATTGAGATAGTTTGCTCTTCTTTCCAGTTTTAGTGCTGTCTTCCAAGGATGGGAGTCGTTCTCGTTTGTTTGTGCAACACCATTCCCATGGTAGGAACTCACCAAATATTAGTTGAATTGTTGTGTCTAGGGTCCACCAAACTGCTGTATTTGCCCACTTAGTTACATGTATTGACAATTTACCACCAATTCTATTAATACAGCCTTGCTTTTCTTACCTTCCTTAGAATTAATTTGAAATTTAAAGTAGACAGCAGAATTTTTCATTCATTCAGCAAATATTTGTTGAATGACTACTCTGTTAAGTGCTGGGGCTTCACAGAAAGAATAAGCCGTGGTTTCTGTCTACCAGGAGCACTGAGTTTAGGGAATAAATTCACTTGTATATAAATTAATCATACTGTTACAGAATGGATGAACGTGTTGAGAGAGAGAGTTCTGTAGCATCACAAGAGGTGTTTACTTAATCTGATTAGATCAGGAAAGACTTCCCTGAAGAGGGCATTTTGTAAACAAGAAGGAACATAGTTGAGAGGTGTGATCATATTTAGGTGACTAGAGAACAGAGCCAGAGCACTGCACGCTGAGGGCAGGGGACTTGGGCAGTGGAGAGCGTCCTCCCTTACATCCCTGTCAGTGCCCATCCAAGTTTTCTGACCTTTGTTCCACTGTGAGAACCCACAGGAAGTACAGAAGCAGCTGAAGTGGTCTGATCAGACCTGTGTTTCAGAAGAATGGAGGAGAGCTGAAGGCAGGGAGAGACCATTCATCAGCGTGACCTGTTCTAGTCTCCCGGGATGCGGCAGGGAGCCATGCCCTCAAGGACCTGGCATTTTAGTTGAGAGAGAATTTAAACACATATATATAGTGTATGTCAGATTTTGAGAGGTGTGAGAAAAAAAATAAGGCCAGGATAGAAGAATGAATTGCTGAGTAAATAAAAGGGGATGTGGTCTCAGGTGTGGGCAGACCACGTAAAGTCAAAAGCAAGGAGCAAGGATCCTCAGGGATGGGGAAGGCCAGAAGCAGAGCCAAGAAGTCTTAAACTGGGCCTGGCCAAGAGCTTTATCATTCAGAACAGAATCTCCTGGGTCTTACACAGTTAGCACTATCCAAGAACATGAAAAAAAGGATGTTCCCAAAGACCAAGCAGGTCAAAATTGGCTTAAGTGGGCACTTTGCACAAGTAGAGTGTAAATGTCTTAAACTGGAGCTTAAACTGAGCTGCTTGGTTTTTGAGGGGACTTATAAACTGTTAGGTGTATAAGCAGAATAGCTTGTGGAAAGAGGATGAGCCCATACTCCACATTGACCAATGTCTGTGGTCTCCTCTGCAGCCCTGGCCATGGGTCTCTGTGTAGCCATGATCGCCTTTGTCCGCCTGCCCAGCCTCAAGGTGTCCTGCCTGCTTCTCTCAGGGCTTCTAATCTACGATGTCTTTTGGGTAAGTGTCTGTTTCCCCGAAGCCACCGCTCTCTCTTGTGTTTAATTGGAGTGTTGATTCCTGAAAGTTTTTAACTTTAAGTATCCAAATGCTGGCTGGCTGGAGTACCTCCTGCCTAAGATCACTCCCTCCAGTCCTGAACTGTACATGCTAAAGGTGAGCAGGCATCTGTCCCCACCTGTTTGTTGAGATGTGTTAAACAGATAGTGCATCTGTGTCTCTTGGGGTGGGGGAGAGACCAGGCAGACAAGATTCTCTGCCATGGGAGCAAATATTTTTTTCTTCTCCGAGCATGCAGTCAGAGAAGCCTGATGTTAGCCCAGAAATAGACCTTCAACTCTATGGTCAACTAATCTTCAACAAAGCAGGAAAGAATGTCCAAAGGAAAAAAGTTTCTTCAACAAATGGTGTTGGGAAAGTTGGACAGCCACATGCAGAAAAAATGAAAGTGGATCATTTCCTTACACCACACACAAAAATAGACTCAAAATGGATGAAGGACCTCAATGTGAGAAAGGAATCCATCAAAATCCTTGAGGAAGAACACAGGCAGCAACCTCTTCGACCTCAGCCGCAGCAACTTCTTCCTAGAAACATCGCCAAAGGCAAGGGATACAAGGGCAAAAATGAACTATCGGGACTTCATCAAGATCAAAAGCTTTTGCACAGCAAAGGAAACAGTCAACAAAACCAAAAGACAACTGACAGAATGGGAGAAGATATTTGCAAACAACATATCAGATAAAGGGCTAGTATCCATAATCTAGAAAGAACTTGTCAAACTCAACACCCGAAGAACAAATGATCCAATCAAGAAATGGGCAGAGGACATGAACAGACATTTCTGCAAAGACGACATCCAGATGGCCAATAGACCCATGAAAAAGTGTTCCACATCACTGGGCATCAGGGAAATACCAATCAAAACCACAATGAGATACCACCTCACACCAGTCAGAATGGCTAAAATTAACAAGTCAGGAAATGACAGATGTGGAGAGGATGAGGAGAAAAGAGAACCCTTCTACAATGTTGGTGGGAATGCAAGCTGGTGCAGCCACTCTGGAAAACAGCATGGAGGTTCCTCAAAAAGTTGAAAATAGAGCTACCCTACGACCCAGCAATTGCACTACTGGATATTTACCCTAACGATACAAATGTAGTGATCCAAAGGGGCACGTGCACCCAGATGTTTATAGCAGCAATGTCCGCATAGCCAAACTATGGAAAGAACCTAGATGTCCATCAACAGGTGAATGGATAAAGAAGATGTGGTATATATATACAGTGGAATACTACGCAGCCATCAAAAGAAATGAACTCTGGCCATTTGCAATGACGTGGATGGAACTAGAGGGTATTATGCTGAGCGAAATAAGTCAATTGGAGAAAGACAATTATATGATCTCCCTGATAGAAGAATTTGAGTGGCAACGTTGGGGGTTGGGGGTAGGGAAGGAAAAAATGAAACAAGATGGCATCGGGAGGGAGACAAACCATAAGAGACTCTTAATCTCACAAAACAAACAGGGTTGTTGGGGGCAGGGGGAAGAGGTGATGGGGTTATGGACATTGGGGAGGGTATGTGCTATGGTGAGTGCTGTGAAGTGTGTAAACCTGGCAATTCACAGACCTGTACCCCTGGGGCTAATAATATATGTTAATTAAAAAACAAAAAACTCTTGACATTGCAGTATTCTGAGACTTTGCTCTGAAGAACAAGGAGGGTTGATGCTGAAATCAGGGTGCTCCCAGCTTCCTCTGTTAAACACATCTCTCCATTTGGCTTTCGGCAGGTGTTTTTTTCTGCCTATATCTTCAATAGCAATGTCATGGTGAAGGTGGCCACGCAACCGGCTGACAATCCCCTTGACGTTCTATCCCGCAAGCTCCACCTGGGGCCCAATGTTGGGCGTGATGTTCCTCGCCTGTCTCTGCCTGGAAAACTGGTCTTCCCAAGGTAGGACTGGCATGTCAGGCCTCACGTTGTGATAGTGAACACTGTCTTCCTATTCCTCTGTGTTCCTTGATTAGCCTTTGTCATCAACATTCTTATCCTAGACTGGAAAAGAGTTGTGTGTCATCCTGTTTTACGAATGAGGAAGAGAATACTGATTTGAGTATTTATCATTAAATGATACAGGTGCTGCATTATCAGCAGATTTATCATTAAATGATAAATTTAATGAAAAGATTTATCATTAAATGATACAGGTGCTGCTTTTTATTATTGATTAATATTACCAAACAGCTGTATGTTACTGTTGTTAGCATATTTTAGAGTTGGCTGGAGGAAGTCAACAGGAGACTCTGAATCTTTTTTATTTCTAAAGCATTTGTAAAAATATGTCCTAATGCTAAAATTATACAGTTGCTGAGGATACAGTCTTAGGAAAAATTATGTTGGGACTCCATGTCTGGGAGTAGTCAGGTGCTTGTTTAAAGTCACAGCAGCGAATGTGTGACAAAATATGGAATTGCTTGACATTTCTGGAAGACGCATTACTTAAACAGATGACTTCAGCACTACTCTTAGAGGTACTCTTCCTGAAGCAGTGAGGGGCCTGGTTGAAGACGTCTGTTGCCAATAATCTTGTGGCTTGTGATCTCTAAAAACTCTTAAAAACTAGTGTTGTTCCACCTCTAGAGATTTCCATCTCCCATTCAGGTAAGTCCAACTTCTTAAAAAGCTGACAGATGACTCTGCACAGGAGGAGGAGAAATGGGATTGTTGAGGGCGGCATCCCTGACCTGTGACACTGCATTCCAGCTCCACTGGCAGTCACTTCTCTATGTTGGGCATTGGGGACATCGTGATGCCTGGACTCCTGTTGTGCTTTGTCCTTCGTTACGACAACTACAAAAAACAAGCCAACGGTGACTCCTGCGGTGCCTCTGGACCTGCCAATATCTCTGGACGCATGCAGAAGGTCTCCTACTTTCACTGCACTCTCATTGGATACTTTGTAGGTAAGAGAGCTGGAGAGCCTGCATGGGATCCCCTGACTGTCCTCCAAGCCCTGGAGTTAAATCAGGTCTTCTAGCTGCAGACACTAGGTGGAAGGAGAGCAGTACTCTGGTTGCTGTTCTCGACAGCCACAGAGAAAGAAAAACGTGACCCATGACATGACAGATGCTGTCTCTACTGGCCAGCCCAGTTCCCTATCCACCAATCTGAAGAACATTGTGGAAAGACTGATCAGGCCTCAGAGTTAGAAATATCTACCACTCAATGATCGTGAATCAGTCTGTGTGCTTAATTAAATCTTCAGCTTGAGGTTAATCAATGTCATGTTTATTTCCCACCTCATGAAACAGGTACTTCTCTTCATTTGTTCTAACATGTCTGTCACTTCTAACCTTAGACTCTCCCTGGGCCAGTTCTTCTCTAGCTGGCTCACTTACACACAGACAGGGAAGACCCACATAATGGGGCTGTAGCAATGGTGGGAACCTGTCTGCTGCTCCAGTGGCTGGCTACAGCAGGGTGGATCATTTCAGCGCTGAGGCTCAGAGAGGTGAAACGCCATGACCCAGGTGACAACGCTTGCAGAAGGAACAGAGTCAGAACTTGAACCCACCTCTTTGCCTCTGAGTTTGGCATCACCTACCACACGAGACTGGAGGACCAGGCACATTCAGAGCAGAAGTAAGGGCTTGGACCAGGAAGCTAAGCACTGAGGGGCACCTGGGCTGCTCACGGGTCCTTGGAATTGTAGGACTTTTCAAAGCTATGCTGCTCCACCCTGGGCAGAGATCACAAGCAGGGCCTCTCCCTGGGCATCCGTCTAGACAGCACACGTCACAGGAGAGCTGTCCGATCAAGACCCTGGCAGGTATCAGCCAGGTAGCAGGCTTTCCTCTCTGAGGGTTGACCCCTCAGTGTTGTGTATGAATGTTTCTCCCTTCATAGGTCTGCTCACTGCAACCGTGGCGTCCCGCATTCACCGAGCGGCCCAGCCCGCCCTTCTCTATTTGGTGCCATTCACCTTATTGCCGCTCCTCACGATGGCCTATTTAAAGGTGAGAGAAGCAGTTAGAAACCTGTGAAGGCAGTAACTTGGCATTGACTCAGCACTTGGGTATGTATTCTCCTTGCCAGAGGTGGGTCTGCTTAAGCCCCACAGCTCTTGACCTTGATGGTGGGTTGGTGGGTCTTTGTTCACCTGGTATGAGCAACCTCTTCCAGCCTGTTGGAGACACTGGCACAAAATGCTAGTGAATTAGACTACTATGCCTCTCCGTCATGAGCGAACTTATTGAAATCCCTAGAGCCCAGCTGCAGAGACTTCCCTTAAAAGCAGCATCATATTGTTACCTAATAGCTTTTTACTACTTTGCATTAAAATTTTGAGATATTTAAGAAATGTATGATTACAGCTAGACTTGGAACATTACCTGATATATAAGATTTGTATTATCCTCATTTTACAGAGGAGGAAACAGAGGTAAACTAGCTTGGCTTCAGCATCTCTCTCTTAAATGATAGAACTTATACCCTAGAGAGTTCTTCAAAGAATGGTAGGTTACTTTTCATTGAATAAAATTTGCATGTTCTTTGATTCTTCACAGAAGCCGGCTGATCTGAGATCAAGAATCAGAAAGGACTTATAGATGTGTGTGGCTCATGTTTAAATCTGTAACTTAGTAAAGTTCCTTCTTCCCCAGGGTGACCTTCGGCGGATGTGGTCTGAGCCATTCCACTCCAAGTCCAGCAGTTCCCGATTCCTGGAAGTATGATGGATCCCAGACAGTGACCAGAATGGCCATCTGAGTCCTTTTCTGTCAACGCGTGGTTTTGTTTCCTCTTAGAGCTGGCCTGGTACTTGGAGATGTACCTGTATAAGGAACTGACATGTGACTGGATTTTGCGTTTGCAGGGAGCTTGTTTGCAGGAGCGAGGTGCTGGAGCCCTGCTTCGTTTTTTCTCTTCCTGCCGTTGTAGAGGCGGAGCCCTTCCTGAAGTGACAGGCCCTCCCCAGTGCTCCTTCCTCCCCCGTTTTTATGAATCTGCACCAGACTGTTACCTGTGGGGGATGGAGATATGACTGCTTAAAACTGACCACGGCAAGGAGTCGTTCTATACCTTTTGAACACTAAAAAGGATGAAAAATATTAGCAAACCGAAGTTTCTTCAGTGAACCCTCAAGAACTTTGGGACCAGTTTCCTATGGGGGACTCCGTTTCAGAGAACTGAGACAGAAGCTCTTCTGTCGTTATATTCTTTCCTTTTTCTGGATTTATTAAATATTTTCTGTGGTGTGAAGTGACTTATTAAAAATCCACAGACATTGAGTGACTTCTTAAAACATACACATAAGAATTTGTTGTAATGAGTTCATGTCCACCCAGATGTTGTGTCGGCAGTGAACGAGGGCACGGTTTTTATACATACACACACGCACACATCGATATATATGAATAAACAGAATTAAAACCTGCTAAGATCATGCTGTGTAGCAGACAGGGACTTGCTGTAATTTTTAGCATGTAGAGCAGTTTACTCCGGCTTCCTTGTATATGGATACGCTGCTGTCTCTCCCCTCCACAACTGAACATGCAGTTAAAAAACCAGTATAGTATTTGTACTGATATACTCATGGACTTTCGGGGGCTCTTGTTTGGTTTTGATCAGTGTAGCCAATTAGGGATGAAAAGTTCAAACTTTTTGGCCCTTTTTTTGTTTTGTTTTTACAGGCTTCTCCCTTGCAGGGTTTTTAGTAGTTTCTTCTTGAACCAATGCATGTAATATAGCAGCAGGTGTCTTTGTGCTTTCTGATCATAGTAATGTACTACTTGTAAATACATTTTTCTATTTTCTATTGTTTTTGTATTTTCTTTTTTTTTTTTGGCATTTTGTTTCATTGGTGTGCTGTATTTTCCATGCCCTCACTCCTTGAAGAAAAAAAGGAAAAAAGCAACATGATCCTGTCCTTGCTGTTGTGATTATGGTCTTGGCTTACCTGTGGTGACAACTGGGTATTGGGGACAAATGTCAGTTGCCCCTCTGAGCTGGGCCCTACATTGCAGGCATGGCAGAAGGAGCAAGCTGCTCTGTCCCCTTAGAATCTGACCGTGTGCTGTGTGGTCTCTGCTGGAGAGCCAGTATTCTGGTAGTAACTACTGTGATCATGTCAGCTCGCTTTTGTCGTGGCCACCCCCGCGTGATAAGAAATGGCCCACTTTAGAGGCAGAAGCCTGGCTACCTGACAGCAGAAGTGGGAGGAGGGCCCACGTGTCCCCCTCTCCCCCTTCAGCAGGTAACCTGCCACTGCTCTGACCTGTGCAATGAACTGGTGTGCTGTGCCTCCCCACGGACAGAGCTCCTAGGCAGTGCATGTCACGTGGTCATGGGGACGTAAAGCGATCAAGACGATGTGTTCTCCTGTTGTGTCTTCAAATCCTGCTGAGGGCCGTTTCGTTTTTTTGTTTTGTTGGTTTTGTTCTGTTTTTGTTTTTTAATAAATGACTCCTTTCTAGCCTTTGTCACCTCATCTTCACTTTTGGTTGCTGGTACCACACAGAGCCTCCCGTCACCTCCCACCCACTGTGCCTGTTCCAGAAGACTGACGGGAAGACCTTGCCTCCAGACAAGGTCACCTATAGCTCTGGTTCATTTCAGTCCTAGAGATGTCAAAGAACTGAAGCTTCCGTTGTCCGCAGAACTCGAAACAGCCTCTGGAGTTAGTGAAGACCAAAGGTACACTGGTGTGCTTGCTGCTTATCAGCTGTTCTTCCTTAGCCCTCCCTGATGCTACTGACTAATTAAACAGGGCAGGAGTCGGGGGACTCTACCAAAATGACTCCGATTAAGGCTAAGTGCTAGTAATGGTTAGAAGTATTATCCTGGCAGCTGGTCATTTTGATTTTTCTATCTTTTCGTAAAAAAACTAAATTCCAGACAGAAGGAATATAATTTTTTGTCATCCTTCTGTGCGGGTTTAGGGGGGAAAATACCCACTTGGGTCTCCTGGATGTAATTTGGATCCCAGCTGCTAGTTCTTAAAGCCCTTAAAACTTTGGCAGAGGAACCACAAATGACTCCTTTTGTTTTAAATTAACCACAGAAGACGCATAAGAATTTCCCAGGTTCTGGAAGTAGTGCTATTGTGCAGGTGTGGGAGGTGCTGCAGTAACAGCACACGATTTTGGTCTTCCCTTACAGTCTTCTCCCCTGCCCTGCCTGATACAGATCTATGTCCCCAGCTTTTTTTCTTTTTTCCTCTTCTGGTTTCTCAGATGGTCTGAGTTCTGTGGTCTTCTAAGAAGTCTTTGCATTAGGCAAGGCATGTTGACAAAGTTCTAGCACAGACCACCTTTCTTCCTCACTGATCTGAGTTTCTTCCTCCTCTAAAGAGACTGCATGCTGGAACTCTTCACTTACATAGTAACTTTATTCTAATCTGAGCTAATGAAGATAGAACAGCAAAGTTTATGCAAAACCTAGTATGTTCCATTACTGTTACTACAGCTTCTGCTTTTCTGAATAAGATAGCTGCACAACTCGCTGTGTAGGGGACAGTTCAAACCAGCACTGGAGGGTGTCGGGGTAGGCTACTATCTGAATTACCTTTGTAACATGCCAGCACAAACCTTGGTTAACCAACAGGTAAGTTATGGTACCCATAAGAAAAAAGACTAGTTCTCTGTGGGGGTAGAGGGAAGGGAGTTCTGTTTTGTCAATAAAATGTCAAAAATAGAATCTGCTGTGTCTGCATAGCAGCTCTCATTACTGCTAACCAGATCCAGTGTTGTATGTAGACATTTGTGTTTGGTAAAGGCCAACATTTACATCAGAGCCTTGGAATGTAGCCGTTTTGTATATACATGAAGCATACTCATCAGGAATGTCAACTGCAATTTTCCTTCTCTGTAGAAGCAGGGCAGACAGTACAGGCTCAGAAGGAAAGCAACCTGTCATACTTCTGATCTCCAGTGCATACTGGCCTGGATAGACTCCTCCCTCCACTCAGTCACATTGCCTTGGCAATTTCCAACAATGAAATCACTTCAAGAAAAATGGCTCTTACACAGGTGGCAGCCTTGCCCTGGAGTCTGTACAAAGTCCTGCAGATCTGCCTGGAGAGCTCAGCCCTCCTCCCTCTTTTGGGAGGGATAAGCCAGGTAAGAGGTTTTTAATCCAGAAATTATTTCTATTCCTGTGCAATTTATAGACTGCTGTTTGCAGGACTGAACAAACACTTTTTCAGGTTCGGACTCTTAACTCCTTACGTGTATGGAGCCTCTCCCAGAACAGTTTGTTGCTGACTCCTCCTCGTGGCTGTCAGCCATAATTTGTTTCCTCCTCATTTCCCTTGGAATTCAAAACCCTTTCCTGCCCACTGGTGGCCATTTCAGAGTTGTTTCAACTTAAGCTGTGTCAGGCACTGGGTGCTCCAGGGAACAAAACCAAAGAGCTGATCCCTCGTGCCCCATGGCAGGGGTGCCTTACCATGCTGGGCACATGGGGAACGTGGTCCCCGTAGATGAGGTCACTCAGCAACGTAGCATTGAGTTCGAGAGAGAGTGTCAACCTGAAACCATTAGGAAGCAATAATTAAGCACAACTATTTGGGATACACAGATTTGGGTAGCAATCCAAATAGTGTCCCACTAGGGAGCAAAAACCAGAGTTAGTTTTTGTTTTTTGTTTTGTTTTTTAACAGAAAGGGCATTGATATTATTTACAAAGCATCCTGATTGGTAGTGGCAGAAGACTAATCTTGGCTGAAGATAATTGGTCGCTAAGGCTGTCCCCGAAAGCAAAAATCTGTTCCTGTACGAAGTTGCAGATCTGTGCAGAGTCCTTGGGAGGATCTGTGATTTAGCCCAGTCCAGAAGTTCATGGTTCCATCTGGTGAGGATGTGCATAAGGCCCACCTCCTTAACAGCCTCCTGGCTTCTTTTAAAACTCCTTGACAGAAGTGATCTTATTTCACCTTTGATAAGTAGAATCTAGAGCTTTTGGTCCATGACTTGGACTTTCCTGTAAATAGCAAAGGCATAGCTGGGAATGCAGGACTGGATCCTGCAACTAACAAAGAGAAAGCAGGGCTGTAAATGCTCCTTTTTCCTGCACCATGGTGCTCCTGACCAAATACATAAAACTACAGCGGACAGGAGCACTGAGTACATTATCTCTGTGCAGCATGGTTTAGGAATCTTACTAAAGCCAGCAGTTCTAACTTTATGCAGTACTTTCTCGTAGTGATCACTTTAGTGTGCTATACAGAGCTTTTAGGTATTTGAGTTATTAAAAATTCCTGTGGCTGACTCAGGCTTAGTTTATGGCTCCTCTGTTTACAATGCTTCCTAGTCAATTGTTGAAGTTCCAGGAAGTCTAGCCCCTGTCAAGTAGAAACGGTATCACTTGCCACTGGTTTGCAAGTGAACAGTGTTCCTGAGAGGAATCTATGAGCTTGCTCCAGCCCCCACAGAGTCCTGGGATTCTCACTAGTTCTCAAGAAGACAGAGGAATGGGAACCAATTGGGGAGAGGAAACAAGGCTTGAGACTGGGAGCTGGGAAATTTGCCAAGCAGTGGGCTTTTGCCTTGTGAGGAATGAAAGACAGGAAGTGGGTGTCCGGAGGACAAAGAGATGGAGAGGGGGCAGCAAGGTGGCCGCGTGCCAGCATTCCGGCCTCGGGATTCTGAATGCCAGTTCCTCTGCCTTCCCAAACACTCTGGCTCCAGGCAAGTTACCTCTCCACCCTCTAATGAGACCCTTTACTCAACCCACCTGGACTTGGAGATGCAGGTAGCACGTGTAGCTAACTTTTAGCCTGTGTGGTTGAACCTTTCCATCGGAGACCGCGGATTCCCTCCCTCTTGCAGTTGGTGGTGGTGCAGCTTGTTTGGGGTATTTTCTGCGGGTATATAGTAGCACATCCTGGGGCAGCTGTGCCCAGCTTTACAGGCTTCCTGGTGAGGGCAGACACCTAATTTCAAAAAGAGAGTTTAAGGACTTGCTTTTATGAGAAGGAGCACTCCTGTCCTCTGAGATGACAAAGCTCTGTACGGATAAGTCACGGTCTTGCTAGCTTGACAGTGGTGGAAACAGTGCCACCCGCCCCAAGGCTGGTGGCAGGTTTGGCCAGGTCTGAAGGAACACCTCACGCTGGCCAAGAGCCCCAGGCCCACCCAGAGGCCTGGGGAATGAAGAAACACCTTTCCCCCACAATGCCCCACTCCTTTCAACAACTACAGGTGTAATCAGGGCCTGTGCCACTGGATGTCACATTCTGTCCGGCTTTCACCATCGTCTTCAAGGAGCTGTTCTGCCAGCAGGCCTCCCCGCTATGCAGTCCCAGTGCAGGGTGCCTGGGACTAGGGATGTGAAGAACCTGCTGCCACCCTGCATGCAGAGCACGGGGACTGGAAGGTGACACCACAGCTTTTGACCTGAACACTTAATTGCCAAAACTGAGAGAAAGGAAAGACGGAGGAGGAGGAGTTCTGGTTCAGTCAGTAAAGCAGCTAGAGAACTGGGGTGTCTTAAAGATAGAAATGTACATTCCCCAAGGCTTTAAATACCAAGATGATCTCAATAGTGAGAGGTCGGAAAATGACTCCCCAATCAGCAGTTAGCCTCACACAACCCCATGTGGCCTGGGGTTAGTGATAAAGCCCCTCTGGGCCTTAGCGATAAAGGTGTGTTATTTAAAGTACCAAATGAATACTAGGCAATTCTCTGGTCTGTTGAGTTTTCATGTACTCTACACAATTTACCAGTCTCTGTGGAGTTAGAATGCAATTAAAATTATCAGATTTAAACAGACATGCTTTGATTATCAAAGCAACCACAGCTTCTGTAAATGCTT